CTGCCTCTGCCAGTGGCTGCTGGTTTTCTGGCTTTTCTAGCACCTTGGAAGTAATTATTTTATTTTATTTTATTTTATTTTATTTTATTTTATTTTATTTTATTTTATTTTATTTTATTTTATTTTATTTTATTTTATTTTATTTTATTTTATTTTATTTTATTTTATTTTATTTTATTTTATTTTATTTTATTTTATTTTATTTTATTTTATTTTATTTTATTTTATTTTATGTTTGTGTCTGTTTCCTGGCTGTGTGTTCGCGTTTTATACAGACCCAGGTAGGAAATACGGTATAAAACCCAAAGATTTATAGTGAGTGCCGGCGGCCAGCACATTTTTTAAAGTACTTGTAACAGGAAGCAGGATAAAGCTTGGCGTAAATCTTCTTGACCCATTAAAACACTACAGAAGCTGTTTATTGCATAACTGCGATCAAACAGGGGCTTTTTTTTTATTTTTTATTTTATTTTTTTTTAACTGTTCGTGTGACGACAAGAAGGGAGGCTTTGGGTGAGAGAGGCTGTTGCAGAAGTGCCGGTATCAGAGCGAGGAGCTGCAGTGACACGGGTGACAGCGACCCGTGGAGCCACAGCCCGGTGGGAGCCAGCTCTCTTCCTTGAAAACTGCTGAGCTGGCATCAAGGTTTCAGTTTGTTTCCAGCAGCAGCCCTCCTTAAGTTTGGAGGGTTTTCACCGGGGGCTCGAGCGAAATGCTGGATGGGTTTTGGTTTTCTGCTTCGTAAATTTCGGCAACTGGACGCTTGTTTGACTCGGACCGTTTGTATGTGCTCCGTTTCACAAAAGGCAGCTTGGAGTTGCCTTTCGTATAGATTGTGAAATTGGAGTGCTGTAAAAGCTGAGAAAGTGGCACAAAACTTGCACAAAAATTGTTTTATAATGCAGAAGCCTTAATTCAGGTATTTTAAATTAATGAGAAATACCCATTACTTTTTTTTTTTCTAAAGAATGTTACTGATTTCCTTCTCCCCCCCCTGTAATATATGACTTTTTTAATACTTTGCATCACTGTATTTTTGTAACCTACGGTTTTATCTGCATGAGCCCTTATGGTCCTTTTAAATGCTTCTTGACTGTACTTTGAAAATGTTAGTGGAAAAGTATTTTATTTCTTTGGACTTAAATAAGAAATGTTCCACAATAAAGCCCACATTACTTTATATTGACAGGTATCAGGAGTTGAAATGACATAGAAAAAGCCTTCAAAGCGCTGACTGCGACATGAACTCCTTCCACTTGATGCCAAAAGGAGGTACTGTTTTCAAGTGATTTGAATACTGTTAAGATCACTCCTTTCAAGGTTATTTGGATGCTCTCATTGCCTCCAGTTTGACGTGAGGGGGAAGTGGGCAGACAGGTAGCACTTCAGTGTACTAGAATCAACCGGTGATGTCCAGTTATGTACAGCTATGGGTATCTATCTCTTTTTTTTGTGTGTTTGATTTTTTTTCTCTGCTTCTCCTGTGCTTTGGTGAAAGTTGAGGCAGTACCTGTAACAATTACCTTTGTTCAGATTCAGACTTTGAGCAATTAATACTTCATCTCAAAGTTGAACTGGAATTTAGCTCATAAACATTTAACTATTGCAGGCTTCTTTGTGAATATTCTTCTTTGATTTCTGTGACTTCATTTTGATATAGCTTCAACAGAATGTCTTGGATAATGGGTCTTCCTTAAAGGTGTCATTTTTCTTTTGTTCTGCAACTTGCAGCAGAGTCTGGAAGGGAGGCATTTAAGGACTAAAGTTTGTGGTCTTCACTTCAGTGTCAGAATACCACAGTGGATAACCAGATCCACTTCTGGAGGGTGCTGGTGCATCGTTCTGTGTGACTTGGCATTCAAGCCTGCCCCTGTAAAATGATCAGCTGCATTATTGAGCGTATTAGACAGGAAAGTTGGGACCTCAGGGAGGTGTGAGACTGGAAACAAGGTACAGCCTGTTAGAAATTTTGTCTTGCTTTGCTGTTGTGGTTTAACCCTGGCAGAACAAGAAACAAAATGTGAGCTGTATGAATTGTTGAGGTGGGTTGAATCTTGTCTAGGTGGTTGTACTTTGGAGCAAGTGGCCATACCTGGTCTCCATCCAAAAGTTAAAAAGTTAATGCTGTTTTTTCATATAGGCGTGCCACCAAATTGGGACACTACACCTCTGTGCTATTATGTTGTTTGCAGAGATGATAATGAGCTGCCTTTGAACCACAATTTCCCTATTAGGTATGTGTGCCTCAAAGGCAAAGGATCTGTTGGTCACCGTTGCTGTTATGGGTCCCCATAGACAGTGATCAATACTGAAAGCCAGTTAAATTAGCAACGACTTGCTGATGCGCAATTGATGCTTTCTGTGCTACTGTCTTGAGTGGTTTTTTCACTGTGTTGGCTTTTGCAACACAATGTCATGCCGTGTATTTATAAATTATTTGCAAGTAAAATCTTTTAAAAATTGGAGACAGAAAATTTGGAAAACAAAGATACAGTTATGTGTTTTGCACAGCTTCCTGAAGGACAAGTTTGCTAATTCTGCGGTATGCGGACTTAGGGACCCATTCTGTCTATAAACGTGTTCTTATGGCATTTAAAGTTGGCAGTGTGCCTAAAGCAAGTAAAAGGGCAAGTTCTGTGAAAACAGACATCCTGCACAGAACAGAATGTCAGTATCTTAAATTAGGTCTGCTTGGTTTGTATTTTGGTTTTCAAGATGGTAATTTTAGAAACTTGAAGAACAGCAGTAAGTTGTATTTTAACTATGGGAAGATAAATATTAGGAAAGTAATTTGGAAATCAAACCTTTCTCTTTTTTAGTAGTGCGAACCACAAATACGATTGGTTGGTAGTGTGGGGGTTTGTTTCATTGTTCGTTTTTTTTCCTCCTTATTTCTTGAAAGACTTCACATACATTTTTCCTTTGGGCCCAGCAAGCTTTGTGCTGAAACAGTTTTCCAAACTAAGTATGTAGGCAGTGTGAACAGTGAAATTGCCATTCTCTCTGCACAAGTGAAGTTTTTGAGCTTACCGTTTATTTTGTCCAAATGATGTGTTTTGTAAAATCCTATTTTCCCCTTCTCTGCTCCCCTTTTCCACTCTTTATAGGTAAACTGAAACTCCAAGAATGATGATCAGCTCCCTGGCAAGTTACAGGAAAACCACATACAAGGCAACTAAATAAAGACTACGGTATGAGTGCTTTGTCAGATAAACTGTCCAAAAGACGTACATACTTGGAGGCTGTTATATTAAAGTGTTGAACTCTACTCTGTGTGTCCCTTCCTAGTACCCCAACACTTCTGCTTATGAAATGCTTCAAAAGGAGCTGGTGTGGCTTATTTGTCACTAAAGTGAACTACATTGGATATAAAAGTAAGTCAAGGCCATGTGTTTTTTTGTTTTTTTTTTTTTCAGGGGATACTATCTATTATTCCAGACATTTCTAGTTGGGTAGAAGGCAAATATTAACTAGGATCTGTGCAATGAATGTTTTGCAGTGGACAGCTGTGTGGGAAACCAAATTGCTTGAGAGTGAAAGGGAGCAGCATGCAAAATGGTCAGGAACCGAGGAAAGGCAAGACAACTAAATGCAGACCCCAACCTATGGGGAGCTGTCAGAAGGGAAGGGGTTAAGTGTTTGCCATCTGTCTGACAGTGAAAGGCTTGGGAAGGGCTCTGATGATGTCTTGCTAAGAAAAAGCAAGCACATCTGAGAGGGGAACAGGACTTGGTTAAGATTTAGAGGTTTCATGGAAACCACTTGTGGGCCATGAGGGCAGTGGGTGTCTGTTCAGTCATGTCTTTGTTAGAAAAAGCTGCAAAGAAGACCTGAGGTGTGAAGTGAAACTACAGCTCTTGAACACTTTGTTTAGTGTCTGACCACAGCAATTCATATTAGCTGCGGTTTCCACACAAGTTTGACTTTAGGCTCCAATTTAAGTACCACATCACACTGGAGTTACAGTGTGCTTGTCCTCCTGCAAAGAACTACAAGTTTATCTGTTCTTAAAAGGGGTGCTGCCCCAACTGTACGAGAACGGTTCAAAGAATGAAAACCTCGTACATCTTTTTGATTGTGTCTCTCATAAACATGTGGAAAGAGGAGTAGCTTGATCAAGCTTGGTTTCTAAATTACACAGTACAGCTTAAATGTTTGTGTGCTAGCATAATATTTCTGTGCTAGAGGGTTGGAGGTTTTTTTGTCTTTGGCTTAACTGTACTGGCAAAAGAAAATTACACTGTATGCAAGAGTTATTCCAGTAGAAATTTGGACAAATTCCAGTAGAAAGCTGAAAACTGAGCAGCCTTCTGTGGAGGCCAATAGTTGCTGTAATTGAAATCTTCAAAGGCAGGGGTTAAATTATCAAACCCTTTTCCCCTCCCCGAGATGACTAATGCTTCTTCTGACTTCTTTTTTAAGGAGTAATGCAGGGTGCAGAGGGCAGTGTAGCTTGAACACTCTTACCACACTAATGGAAAAAAATTCTTCTTTGCAGCAAAAGATGACATCTACATTTTTGCTCATTGGTCATCTCATTCTACTGATACAGTTCAGTGCTGGTAAGTTAAATACATTGTCAAAATTACCATTAAAAAAAAAAACCTGCAAGAGACGAATTGTGTGTATTTAGTAGGAAGGAGTTACTGAGAGCAAATAGTGGATTGGCATTTGTTTTTCCTTCATCGTATTGAAGATATACTGAATGCCTCTTTTGGGACTGAAATTGCGCTGGGGATAGAATGGACAAATTGACATAAATATTTTTAAAACTAGCCACATAAATATAGGGTACAGAGGCTTTGATTAGCCTCTCCCTGATTCCTTTTAAGAAACTGCAAAGAGATTGGCTTCCTTCACTTAAAATTAGCTGTTGAATGCCTCCTTTAAGAGACATGCTGTAGCTCTAGTCTTTAAAGCAGAAGGGCTTCGTTTCCTTTACAATTAATTAGTAATATTTTTCGTGGTAGATATAATTTTTCAGTGAAGTTTAGGGCTACATAAGTTAATGATACTTGTCTTGCGGCTCTTCCATAAACAGTCTAATGTGAATGTGTCTGAATATCTCCATAGGGACCTACCTGGAAATCTTTAAATTAGGTGATAGGAAGGTGGTGGGACAGCAAAGATTAATGAAGGCTTTTTTATTTTGAAATAGAATACATTAGGTTTGTATTTTTACAGTCATTCAGCAAGATTTTTAAAATTGGTTCAGTCGTAAGTTTTGCGGTTCATAGGAATTCAGTGTTGCATGTGTATGCAAATGTTTGGAAGCTTTTAAAATCTGCTTTATAGTCAAATGGCCTGCTCTGTTTGTGCTAAACTGGTAATGTACTGACTTCTTGTGCCATCTGTCCTTTCTCCTGTATTTTTTTGGTTGATGTTTTAAAAAAATGTTTGCTAGGCTGCATGATTGTTTTAATGGTAAGTTGTTACACAAAGTTTATTTTTAAATTCTGTGTACTTATGAAAAGTATTCAGATTACAAGCATTGATAATTTTTTTTCTTATTTTTTTTTCATAGAAGGATGTGTTATTTGTAATTACTTTGTGCTTGTTGGAGAACCTACAGCTGTCAGTTGCCCAATAATTACACTGCCAGTGCTTCGTCCTGATTACAATCTCACGTGGTACAAAAATGGTAGTGCTACACCAGTAACCACAGAGAGAGACGCCAGGATCCATCAGCGTGAGGGCTTGCTTTGGTTTATTCCTGCAACGCTGGAAGATTCTGGACTTTATGAATGTCATGTAAGGTAAGGAAGAGAGGAGGGGAACAACTGAGCTTACAAGTGTGGTAATATATTTGTGGAACTTGAGTGTCCAGAACTTTTGGTTTAGGTAGAGAGCTTAGATCAGTTAAAAGCACTTTTTTGACCAGGCTTTTTTTTTTTCTGCACGCTGCCTTTTTTTCCTTCCATAGATGTAGCATTACAAAAATGGTTCACACAGAAGACTGTTTATCTTAAAGTATGATAATGTTAACAATGGTCTGTGTGGGTTTTTTGTTTGTTTTGGATGAAATGTAAGGTCACAGGGAAAAGTCTTAACTGCTTCAGTTTTTCCTGTGTTCAAATTGCTGTTTGATACTGACAGATCAGAAGAACATTTTGGTTTCTTCATTGGACATGGTTAAATGGAAGAAGGATCTAAGAGGAGCAAACTTTGCATATTTTGCAGTATCGCCACATACAGACTTTCTGGAGAGCTTAGCAATTTTGGGAATCCTTTTAGAAATTTACAAATTAAAAGGCAGAAAGTAATTCTTATTTTTCATTTTAAAACATTGCCAAATATTACTGGTCAAAAATGAGAATGCATGTGAAGAGCAAAGAGATGTGCCAGACAGCTTTAGAGACAGTGAAAGTAATGCATCCCTCAAAAGATCTGAGTACACAAAGAAGAAAAAAAAGAATAGATTCTTTTCACCTCTTCAGTATTCACCTCTTGCCACATGTACAGCTCAGGTTAGCACACTGGACTTCACCACTTCAGGTGGTCAAATCTTATTCACAATGGCTGAAGTTCACTGTGTGCTGGATAGGAAATTAATTTTGGGAAAGCACACAGAAATGGTTCTTTTCTTTGTGATCCTTCCACAGGACACTGAGAACAGCCAGTTCAGGCTTTCTGGGTGACACAAAATTTGCTTTAGTAGTGTGTGTTTGCGTGTACTGGTGTGCATACGGTACACCAGTTACACAGAAGAGGTTTGTGTTGTGAATGTAGTAACAGTGATCAGCAGAATCTTCCAGCATAGGCACAAGTTGAAGGCTTTGCATCTTCCTGCTCCAGAGTCGATAATGAAGCTAAAATTGGAAGTCAGAAGAAATGTAATCCTTTCAAAGCTGCCTAGTTAAATAGTTTTAATTTAGTCTTTCTTGCTGTGTTTCTAGTTACTCTAGCTATATGTTCCTGTGGGCATCTTGCATCCCTGGCTTGCATGATGTCTGCAGCACAAAAAACTTCCTAAAGTTTAGTTGTGTTAACTGTAGGCTAGATTTTATGCATGGGTCACTTAAACTTTAATTACAGAGCTTGTCAGGGTGCAGTATGTAGAAGTTGAAGCAAGGACTATGAAAACATGCAACTCTTCAGAAGAGTCTGGAAACTTCTCCCTTAGCGTAGCATTGGGAAATGAAGAGTTGAGCAATGAATTAATAGAAAGTATTCCTTTACTTCTGGCATAGGCTTTGGGTTTTTAGTGCAATCTCTTCTCTGCAGGGCTACTGTACCACTGGTTCTTGTTGAGCTCTTGGTATGAAGTGGTTTCACATTGATATTGCACCTTGAGGTATATGCTATTCAAAAGCTCTGTCTCTCTTCTGCTAAGAGTTACCACCTGTTTTTTCTTGGTGTGTCCCTCCAAGGAATTCCAAGATGAACCCGTCTTCTCCTTTGCATTTGGCACTGGAAGTGCTCCAGTGCAGATATATTTTGGGTTGCCCTGGTCTACTGTGTGTTGGTAAATGTAAGGCTGAAAACAGCAAGGCTGGGTTGGTGCTGTGGCCTCTGTAGAGCGTCAGCTCTGTGCAGTCCTGGCATCCCTGCTGGTGCTCCCAGAGCAGACTCTGCTTATAACACAAAATCAGAGCTTATTCCCATCTCTCAGTCTGGAACAAGGGGTGAGGGTGATGTTTAACAGCTAGGGGGGCTGTGGCAGGGGTCTTAGAGGCAAGGCTGACGGGGATGCTGAAGTCCCTCTCTGTAAGCTGCCTGACTTGTTGGAAACAGGGAACATTATTGTTAATGACCTGACTTCTTGTTCTAATTACAGGAGGCTTAACCACTCTAACCAAAAAACTATAAAGTTAACAGTTTTTGAGAATGATGACGGTTTGTGTTTCAACGGAAAAATGAAGTTTGAACAAAAAGTGACAAGCACAAATACTGGAAAGATTATATGCCCTGATCTAGATGTTTTTAAAGATGAAGACAATAATCAGCCTGAAGTACACTGGTATAAGGTATTGTGCATGTGTATACAAAATATTCTATTTAAGATGTCTTATGAAACAACAGTGAAAAGTAGATTTTGGAAGGGAAGGTTTATTTTCTCTATGGTTTATGTAAAGTGTCTATCTTGCTACACTACTGGGGAGGTGTAAAAAGATACGATGTAAGGAGGCATTATAAAAAAACACTTGTTCATTTCTGGATTGCAAGTTTTTTCAGAGTTAAAACTATGTGTTTTGGTTTGTTGATTTGTGAAAATCTAGTTTGTCCTTTGATTATTTTATGTAGAAAAGCTTGCAAGTTTCCTTAAAGACAAGACTCTGCATAATCCTTTCAGTTTCACGGAATATTAGGCCTGTCCTGTCTTTTGATCGTGGTGTGGTATTCTTATGCCTCTTGCTCTGTTTCTGTAAAAAATACTCTGTAAACTGTGCAAAGTTAGAAACGTGTTCTCATCTTAAGGTAAAATTCTAAAGTGGTTCAACTGTTAATTCTGATGCTGGTATTAAAGTAGTTACTTGTATATGTAAAATAAACTTGGTGCTGCACCTATACATCCTCTTTTGAGATGAAATAATTCTAAGCAAGCTGCTTATAGGTCAGGGAAGAGAATTGCCACAGAAACAGCAATGCACCCATCAACATGAGGCACTGCTACTGCAGCTCTCGCTCATCTCAGTGAAGCAGGAATGCAGGCGTGTATCCTCATAAACTCTGCTACGTGTGTAATGACTGTTATTACACCTGAGACAGAAAACTGTGAAGCTATTAAACAAAGGCACTGAACTATAAAGCACTGCATTTGAAAACTTCAAATTGGCTGCAGTGACTTCTGAAAAAGTGCAAACGCAGCAAGATGTCATCAGGCTTCGTGTTAGAGTGTAGAGATGCTCAGATAAGAACCCACATTGTGGTTTTCCAAAAAATCAGTATTTGGCAAGCGTTTTAATGATCCGTAGAGTTCAGTAACTTATTTAATTATCAGATTATTAGTTCCCTTTAAATCACGGGTACTTTTGCTATATTTAGGAGTGTAAGCCTGGATTTCTTGAAGACAAGCGACTTCTTTTGGCAGAGGGTGAAAATGCCGTCTGGATTCGCAACGTAACTGTACAGGACAGAGGAAACTACACGTGCCGTATGATATACACATACATGGGAAAACAATACAACGTTTCACGAACCGTTAGTCTAGAGGTTAAAGGTGAGTGCATTGAGTTTATTCTCTTCTCTTTTTGGCTCTGCTGTAAGTATTTGTATGCAGGCTTAAGCTATTTGGCATGTTATTTTTCTGTGAAGTCAGATGTAAATCTTCCTTAATTCTTTCCTGAATGTAAAATTAAAATAGAATAATGCATGTTGCTACTCTTGAGCATTCCTTCTGAGGACGAATTGTCACAGGGAAATGAGAAATACCGGGATAGGAATGAGAATTGGAAGGAAGCAATAGTTACTGGAGTGGAGGGGGTTGTTATTGCTAAAACAAATAATGCACCATTAAATTAAATTAAATTTTAAAAAAAAAAGAGTTTTATTTTTGCTGAGGCCATCACAGCAAAACACCTGCTTGTGGCCCAGTTTGTGAACTTGCTTACAAAGTTCACTATAATGTCAATTGTTGAGAAAGGAGGTGTGACCACCTATGTAAATGCTATAAAGTTAATAAATCTTCCTCTGGAAAGGACTGACTTAGTGTTTGCACTTGGTTGTGCTTTTTGGCATACAGGACTCAAAACTGGCTGTCATTTTGCCAGTACTGTCATTTATTGCCATGATCGTTGTGATTGCTTTTTTGGTAGATTGCTTCTTAGGCAGCATTGATGATGGCCTGACCAGTACCATGAGAGTAGTGCTGTCAGAAAAGTTGGTTAGAGGTGGAGTCTCAGTCTTTTTAGATGAAGTCAAAATTCTGACTTCAGGTGGGTGAGAGAAGAACAGTGGGTTGTTAGCAGCAAGTCTATACATCGTGCAGAATGACACCATTCCAGCTCAGTTTAAGTGTGGGCTTATTTACTCTTAAATAGATTTTCACGTACTCTAGGAAGTTGTTGATACAATCCCTCTTTCTCTTTATTATCCTTCTTTCTTATGAAGTTAATAGCATGTTTTGGTTTTGTTTTATGCTTTTGTATTACTTTTATACCAACTTCCAGTCAATTTGAGATATATTTTTTTTTTTAAATATTTTTAAGATAAGATAAAGCCTTTTAATTTGAAAGCTAAACCAGAATAATTTGGATAGAGTACAGCAAACCATATGATATATTTTCTGTTGTAAATTAGTATTAAGTATGGCACTTCAATAGTACCAAACAAAAAATAAAACCATTGTAAAACTATTAGTTGAAGTGAGTTGGGGAACTTCTTTTTCCTGAAGATTTTATTTTTCTCTTTGTTTCTGTTAGAAGGACAGAGGAAACCAGAATTTATTTATCCAAAGAACAACACAATTGAAGTAGAACTCGGTAAGTAGTGGCTGTTTAAGAAATCATTAACATTCAGTAAAACAAATAAGCTCCTGGTCCTTCTGAAATAACACCTGAACAGTTCCACTGACTTGAGTAAGACTGGGAGATAGGCATGTGGATTGAGGATATCTGGAGGACAGATCATAGAACGTGATTTGGGGGGGGTGGAAAACTGCGTGCCTAAGATTGGAGTCTCTTGACCAGCAATGTCAGGTGGAGGGCAATTATTTATTTTTCTTATTATTGCCATCTGTCCTTTTTACCACTTCTCAGTGTCTATGTCTTGACATATTCTCAGTATCTGTGAAAATACGGTTACATACATGTAACATGTTAGCATAGTTACTACTCGACTAACTCAGTAGTTTTTCCTCCTCCTGTATGTTTCCTGTCTCCCTTCCCTACACGGCCTGGATTTTATTCCTTGTTCTAGGGTGATAAAAGGTTTCACATACTGATCTTTTGTGTAACGGTGAGCTGCTAGTTGATGGCTATACCAGGTATTTTTTATTGTAGTCATTTCTTAAATAAGAGAATCATAGAATGGTTCAGGTTGGAAGGGACCTTAAAGATCATGGAGTTCCAACCCCCCTGCCATGGGCAGGGACACCTCCCACTAGAGCAGGTTGCTCAAAGCCCCATCCAGCCTGGCCTTGAACACTTCCAGGGATGGGGCATCCACAACTTCCCTGGGCAACCTGTTCCAGTGCCTCACCACCCTCACAGGAAAGGATTTCTTCCAAATGTCTAATCTAAATCTCCCCTCTTTCAGTTTAAGAACTTGTGCAGTCTCTGTCCTTCAAGGTTTCAGAACCTGACTGCATAAACCTCTGGTCTCACCTCAGAGCTGGCCCTGCTTTGGGTGGGAAATTGGACTAGAGACCTCCCAAAGTGCCTTCCATCCTCAGTTATTCTGTGATTCTATGTCCCAACTATATGGTATGCAAGTCTTTTCCTAAGTAAAACTATACGTGTTTAGCTTGCACGATATATTGGACAGAGTTGTGTTCTACTGACATAGTTGAGAAGAAGGAATTTTGGAGCTTTATGTACTGTAATTTTTTTTCTCATTTTTAGCTAAGGAGAATTGTTTCAAGCAAAGTATTTATTTGATTAAAAAGGGCATTAACTGATTTTGGAGAAGTGTGATTAGCGGTTTACTAGGATTTCCTAGTACAGGATCTAAGATGTTTTGTAATCTTTTGAGGAAGGATTATTACCAATTAGATCATTAGAGAAGCTCTGCGGAAAGGTTGCGTTCTGGCTCTAGTACTATATGGGAGCTGAAGCCAGAGCATTGGGGGTGATTCTTTTGTAAATCACAGTCATGGTAGTCCCACGTAACACAGCTACTTTTGCTTCTGCTTTTTCTTACATTGAGCTTGCAAATACTGTGTGTATTGGGTGTGCTTTTCTCATGTTGAGACTTCATGCTGCTTTTTGCATTATCTCAAACATTTTCTGTGGCCCAGATTCTAACTTTGAGTATGTGGTATTAAACTGAAGTGAACAGCACTAAAATACTGGTGGGTTTTGTGTTTTTGTTGGTTTTAGTTGCAATTGCTTTGTGGGTTTGGTTTTGGCTTTATTTGTGTGGGTTTTTTTTTTTTTTATTTTTTGACGTCAACAGCTTGTGAAAGATACCTTATTCTGAAGCTGCCAGGTTCTGGTGAAGATTAGTAGATTTTGACCAAAATAGTGAATGAGCTGTAATAGAAATTATGTTCCTCCAAAGTCCAGAAGGCATGGGCATATTCAGGATCTGATAGAAACAGTATTACTTTATTGTAATTATTCCTATTCCATTATTTCCTAATGTCTGCCTTACAGACATGAGGAAAGCAGTCACATGTGAGACTAAAGAAGACACAAAGCCTATTGTGGCTACTGAAGAAACCCACAAAGTGGGTTTATTGTGGCTATTGAGCAACCACAAATGACTCCCCGCTACAGGGGGACCCTTCAAAGGAAGCTGGTGAAGATTTTTTGGTTGTTTTTTTTAAAGACACTACCATTCAAAAGCAATAGTCTCTGTCCAGTACTTTAATGGGATGCTGGGGGTGGTGGTGGAAAAATAATAATTTCTTTTATTAAATACCTGGCTGTGAGGCAGAAACTGGAAACACTTGCATGAACCTGGAAACACCTGTATGCTTTTTGAATGAGAAATGGCAGGAGATGGTTATGTAGAAACTTAGTACATTAATGAGTGTTTTCTTCCTTTTGAAGAGCTGTGCTATGCAGTAAACTGCATCTTTAGAAAAATTCAGTATTGTGCTGGAAGGACGTGAAGGAAGAGATTGGGGGGAATCTGTGTTTTCTATGTGAACTCTTGTTCAAGTAACTGCTTTGCATGTGAGCTGAAGGCTTATTCTGTGCTTTTGATAGGCTATCCCTTGGTGGAAGCATTTAGATCTAATGAGGTTCTAGGAAATGAAACACTGAGATCTTTACATAGGTGAACTGAGAGCCCACCTTCTCTTAATAAATCAAGACTTCCGTGGGTAAAATACAGAAGGAAGGGACTCCTGAGAAAGCTGCTTACCTTCCTGTAAATGGAGCTCTCCAAGATACATTGGCAATAAATAGATTCTGCAACTTGGCTTGCTTTCTTAACACTGAGACATTCTGTAAGATCTGCACTCTTGGTGGCAGAGGAGCTGAGTGACAGGTGAGCTTGCTCTGGGAGCAGAGTGTGGGAGTATTCAGAAACCATCCCAGTGGAGAGAGTTGGCCAGAAGACTCTGATCTGGAGTAAAGATATCAGTGGTCAATAAGAATGGGATTCAGTTCCAGGGTGCAGTTGTCTACACATGGGTATCTGCATATGAGATAGCTTGCGCCTGAACATAGATGTCTAGTGCTGTTTTGGGTGATCTCTAGCAGTACAGATTTCTTGAAGATCTGGAGTCCTATCTGCCAGCTCCATACAGATGCCTTGGATGCTGGAGAGCATCTTGGATGTCATCCTATGGTGTACATGCAACTGATTTGAGGTCTGGAGATCTTTCAGTGGACTCAGTGGAGTCTGGAGAGCCATTCTTGATTCACTATAATGGGAATGGACTTCAGCATGGCTGAACTCTGTTACTAGCTTAGACATCTAGCTTACATGTAGATGTGAAAATTTAGACACCTACATTTAGGCTGGAACTTGTATACAGATCAGAGACACCTGAGTGTGGGTTACAAATGGATGAGTTTTAAGGATTCTGCTTTTTATAAGGTAAGTGGGTTTTTCGATATTGCTCCTTTTCCCAGATAATCCCTAATCACTCTATCCTGCTTCTGTTACAAGACCTTGAATTGCTGTATTTAAATGTTTTTTTGTAGGCTCTCATGTAGTTATGGAATGTAATATATCAAGTGGCATAAATGGCTTGATTCCATTCTGGCAAGTTAATGATGAGGATGTCGATAGCTTTGATAGCACCTACATGGAACAGTTTTATGAGTAAGTATCCTTATACATTGAATTGCAAGTGCATTTGTAGATGAGGTAATCTGCAGTAATTTGTGGTGGTTTCATCATAAAGTTAACTAGTAGTCAAATCTCAGTGGACACTGAAAGACTGATTAAAGGTCTGCGTCAAGTAAATTACATTCTTATTGTTTGGTTTTAAAAAAAAAGCCCAAAGATCTTATTATAAATACTGATGTATCTGATGCAAATGTAATGAAGCAATCATATGTAATCATATGTAAGTTTTTATAATGCTGTTGAGAAACATAATTTTGTAAGGTTTATTTATGCATTTGTTCTTATGCAATCCTTTTTGCTAATAGATTAAAGCCTGCCAACTGTCATTAATACGGGAAGGATAGATTGTTCCAAACCCAAAGAATCACCCAACTTTGTTTTATTTGTGAAGTTGGTTGTTTTCTAAGTACAGACACAGCTGCTAATCCCTAAGAAAACAAAGCAGAAACTGTTGTTGCAGAACATTTAGGGGTTTGTGTTTTTTTATGTTCAGGAAGATTAAACACAGATTAAGTTGATAATACCAGCAGTTCTTTCAAGACAGCAGGACCTTTGTTACCCAGTGACTGGTCTGTGCTATAGCAGAGTGTGGATGTACTGTTTGCTTTCTCATTGTATTAATTGCTGCTGTTAAATATAACTCTTAAAATGTAGTGCAAGGAAGAAAGAAAAAAAAAATCTCAGCTGATCACTTCACACTCATGCAGAAACATTGCTGTCTCCACCAAGTGCCATCATCAGTGCAAAATATGGCTAGAGAGTTAGGTTGCAGACTACTTTTTAAATAATCTTTTCAATTCTTCTGTATCTGGCCTCCAGAAGAAATCTTAGTTCTACTGTGTCTCCAAGTTTCTTTAGAGGGAATTACTACTTTCATTATAGATCTGTATACTTAGTTGTTTGCTATAAATATTAGGGCCCTGACTTATGGCCTCTAAGGCACAACTAAGTCCATTATTCTTTAGGGCATGAAGTTTTTGAGCTTCACCAGTTAAGACCATGTGCAACTCTTTGTATTTATGATAGTTTTAACAACTTCAACAAGTTTTAACAGCTGCAGCTTTTAACAACAAGTTTTAACAACTGCAGCTTCTTCCAAAACCAACTGTTATTAAACACATCTTCCTGAGAAGCATTTACTGTATTTAACTCAAAGCAGTTCTCTGGTAAGATTTATTTTTTTTTGTTTGCTTGGAAATGATCTCTGTTTCTAATCACTACCCTGCCTGATAATTTTCCCATGCCAAAGACGGAGTTGTGCAAAGTACATCCTGTGCAAGTTCTAATTAGGATTAATAGTTCAAAGCAAATTATCAGAGAAATGAATCTAATTGCAATAACAGTGTTTTATTTAAAAAAAAATAGTAGCAATTTCTCAGCAATTACATTTGTGGAGCATTTGCTAGTAGCAAACCACACTGTAGGCATGGCCAACATTATGAACCCGAGGCTTATGGCAGGGATGTAACCTTTTCCTCTGCTGGGAGGAAAGTTGAAAACTGGTGTGAACAAATCCAAACGTGTTGCAAAATGTATTGGCATCCCATTACAGAAGTTGCTGGCAATTATTCTTGTAAAAGAACATCCTGAAGAACCAGTTTCTGCAAAATGAGTTTTCCTCCTAGAGTACATAAGATGACGTCACTTTGTTATATAGCGTAGGATGCCAGATTGTAGATACTTTCCTACTGCGGTCCCTCCCACCTTGTACTTTTAAATCTACCCTTAAGCAGGATGGTATTTAGCAGGATAGTGCATTACATCTTCAAGCTTCTTGTGGCAGTAGATATCAGGCATTAAAGGCAGTATCACCGTGTTTCTTGTCATTTGACAGCAGGGTCACCCAGCTTATGTGAGTTTTTTGTTCGTCGTTATTTAGAAGTTCGTTGGCACTGTTGGCTGTAGACAATGTGGGCTTGGGGACTCTGCCAGTATGCTTAGAAGGGTCTCTGCTTCATCAGTATAAAGAAAACTGGATGCTTTTGTTACTAAGTCTTACTGGTTTGAATAGTCTTTCATTCACAGAATCATTTAGGTTGGAAGGGACCTCTTGGGATTGTCTACTCCAACCCCCTGCTCAGGCAGGGTCAGATAGAGCAGGTTGCTCAGGGCTGTGTCCAGTTGGGTTTTGAATATCTCCGCAGGTGGAGACTTCACAACTTCTCCAGTGTTTGACCACCCTGACAGTAAAAAAGTGTTCAGATGGAATTTCAGATGGGAAGGTGTTTCAATTTGTGCTTATTGCCTCTTGTCCTGTCAGTGGGCACTACTGAAAGGAGCCTGGCTCCCTCTTCTCCACTCCCTCCCTCAGGTATTTACACACATTGATAAGATCCACTCCCTGCCCCCACGCCTTCTCTTCTCCAGGCTGAACAGTCCCTGCTCTCTCCCATGACTGATGCTCCACTCCCTTAATCGTTTTCAAAGCCCTGCACTGGGCTTGTTCCAGTAAATCCCTACATCTCTTGTACTGGGTAGCCCAGAACTGGCTCCACTACTCCAGGTATGAGCTCACCAGTGCTGAGTAGAGGAGAAGGATCATGTCCCTCCACTGGTTGGCAGCACTCTTAATGCAGTTGAGGATGCCTGGGGACTGGTTATTCCTCCTCAGGTGCAGGATTTGAATTTTGCTTTGAACTCCCTGAGGGTCCTGTCAGCCCATTTCTCCAGCCTCTCAAGGGTCCTTGGGATGGCAGCATAACCCTCTGGGGTATCAGCCATCCCTTTGCTAGTGGTGCACTCTGCCCCACAAAGCAAAAAAACCCCAACAACCCAATGTGTATGGAAGATGCCAAGTCAGCTCTGGTCATGAAGCTGTTTGTTACAGGGGTAATATTTACTGTTCTTCACTGGTTTCTTAGGTATATAGAGGTAAAGAATGCATGTTATTGTATTTGTGAATAGATGACTCTATCCTGTATTCAGCGCTGATATTTCAGTTTCTCTACAGACATTTCCTTTTTACCCTTTTTTAATGATAGAGAGAGTATGCCTTATGGACTTGCTGTATCTGGAACAAAATTTAACATTTCAAAAGTGAAAGCAAAGGATTATGAGCATAAGTTTTTCTGTCACTTCATATATGGTACTCAACAATTTACAGCCTACATCAAACTGGAACGCCCAGGTAAGAGATCTCAGCTTGATGAAGTGGTTATGCTTACTTCTCAGTTAGTTTGACAACATCCTACTTAGAGCTAAAACTGCATGATGTACCATTGTGCAAAGTGGGCAATGCAGCTCAATACCTTTTTTTGTGAGATTTTTTTTTGGTTGTATTCTTAGCAAAATTAAAGAAAATAGCACTTTTAATGAGAGAAGACGATGAATGAGACCTCAGTGGAATACTGTGATTTGTTCTACACACTTGTACTTAAAGAAGCATGTGGATCAGAGGAGATCCTGTGTCTAGAACAGCAGTGAAAATGGCCAATTCTCTAGAAAAGCTGAGGGAAAGACATAACTAAGTGTGGTACAGACTCTCAAGAGGACATGAATATATATGTGGACCTGTTTTCCCTATCCTTCAGTAGCAGATAATGGGCTCAGATTGTCAGGAGAAAGGGAAAAAAAAAAATAAAACATCTATTCATATAGTAGGAGAAACTCTGGCAATGTTGATAGTGAAAGAATTGAATAGATTGCTTGGAAAGGTTATGGACTTTCCATTACTGACTCATGTGCTGTGATACCATCTCATAGATCAGCTCATGCGTGTTGATTGGGAGCATCTTGCCAGTTATTGGAGACCCCAGTCTTGGGCTCAGAGACAAGGACAAGTTTGAGTTATTGCTGGCTAGCATGAAATTTTCTTTTTAGTAGATGAGCTTAAAGGTAAAGTGAGCTTTAAAAACTCAAATGCAAGGCTGAAGAAATTTATTGTTTTTATTTAAATCCAGATACACAGAAAAGCAAATCATCAGATATTCTAAGTGCCCATTTTTAATTTTTTTTTAATGTAGCTGCAGTACAGTTTCTGGTCTAGTGAGCTGATTTTGTCAACTGTGAGCCAGTCCTCTGACAAATCAAATTCTCAAACTTAAGTTTAATTGGCCACATTGTAAACAAATAATTGACTGAAAGTGGATCTGAGCTCTAGCTTCTACTATAACTACAAGGTCTACATAAATATTGTCAGGGTAGGATTTAACCTCAGAAAACCTTTAATATGCATGAACAGAAAAATGCAGTTTATGGAGAGTTATTGTTTTAAGGACAAAAAAAAATCTAGTAAGGACAACAAATTAGTAGGTTCAGTAACAAATGTTTGAAGAGGCTAGAGCCAATGGAAAGCTGGTTGGTCCCGGGAGAACAGCATGATCAAGAAATCACTTCCCCACCTCTGACTTTTTTACTGACTGATAAAATTTTGTACAAGAATTCTCACTGTATTGCTGCACTGGGAATTATGTCAATAGTTTGGTGTTTCAGCTGAAGCGTAGCCTTTTGTCGCATTGCTATGGTGTCTTTTCTCTGAAATATAAAAGTAGGCTTGCCAAATAACAGTATTTGCAGGAAGCATACATGAAGAACTTTCAGTCCTATTAACTCTTTTTTAAAAAAAAAAAAAACTATTTTAATGATGAACAATTTTGAACATCTCTTTTGTCTTTCTCTGGTTCTAGGTTGTAATGCTGTTTTGTTTGTTTTCTCCCTTCTTATTTCACTCTGCTGCAGCTCGGAACATTCAGGGTTACTTAATTGGGGGAGGAGTTTCTTTGGTATTTTTACTATTTTTTACTCTCCTCGTCTACAAGATCTTCAAAATTGATATTGTGCTTTGGTATCGGGACTCCTGTCGTCCTTTCCTGGGTAAAAAAGGTAACGGTTGTATGAAAAGTGCTGTGTGTTGTAATGAGCCTCCACCTTCCCTTGCAAAGCAATGGAGTTAACCGTAGGGAGTGTGATTGGTCTTCCTTGGGATTTTTGACAGGATAACGTGTTTTTAGGATGTTTAGAATTAGTTCAGATAAAAAAAGCATCTACAGGGAAAAAATCAGCGACTTTCCAGGAATTCAGTATTATTACTATTCTATTATCATTCTTTTCCCTGAAGAGGAAAGCAGTTTCCACTTCAGTGGTTTGAATGCTGTTCTGACAGCAGTTGTTCAGATTTCTTTCAATTATTGTTTTTAGAGAAAGCAGTAATACAGTAGAATTGTTGGGTGTTTTTTGTTTTCCATAGATGAACCAGGACAAATTTCATTTGTTTTCAATTTGAAGGAAATTCTGATTATTTTACTTTCTGGCAATTTCTGGCATTCAGAAAAATGTGTATCGGGGTACTGACTATAAGAGTGTGGTTAAGTATGGGTAATTTCCGAAGTATGGCTAGGGAAACAGAAAGTATCTTCCAGAGGTAATGAGATTCTGTTAGATATCTTTCAAGTATTTTAAATTTGTTCTTTCTAAAAATGTGTTCCAAAAAATCTAATACAATTCAGACCTTTAAATTTGCCAAATATTTTGTTTTTGTTTTCATGTCTAAGTGGTTGCTGTGTTTTGAAACTCTAGGTAATAAAAATGACCAATGAGTTATATGGCAGCTGGAATTTTAAGTACTCAGTTGTACTACTGGAACCACTATTTTCCAGATAATTCAGTGATACAATTTTTTTTTTTTTTTTATTTAGAGTTCAAAAAAGAATATTCCTACCTACTTACTTTTTGCAGATCTCTTGCCTATTCAGATCCGGCATACTGAATTCTAGAAAGCCTGATCTACAAATATTTCAAGCTTAGTATACATGCTTAAATAATAGCAAGATAAGGACCTAAAACAATGACTTAAGTGGGGGGAAAAACAGAGTTTAGAGATTTTGTTTGTTTGTTTGTTTATTTGTTTGCTTGCTTGCTTTTGTATCTTTAGAATACATTTTTATGTTACTCCTATTGCTCACTCTTTAGCTTCAGATGGGAAGATCTATGATGCTTATGTGCTGTACCCAAAGAACAGAGAGAGCTGCTTGTATTCATCAGATATATTTGCACTGAAGATACTGCCAGAAGTCTTAGAAAGACAGTGTGGATACAGCCTCTTCATATTTGGGAGAGATGATTTACCAGGAGAAGGTAAGCTGTCTGAAGACAAATTACACTTGAGTTTTCTCGTTGGCAGCTGCAAATACTAGTCGGAAACAGGCAATCAATCAGATGTGATTCTAAATAGCTCCCACCGTCGAATGAGCTATGATTTTCTTATTCTTTTTGGAAAATGAGAAATAGAGCTCTGTGTGCTCCCATGAAGTCTGTTTATCTTGGCCTTTCCCTTGTCGTTATTTAGCTTTTCCAAGTTTTTTCAATGTCTGGCTAGCCTAGACTTCTGGAGATGGAAGGATGCTGAGGGAAAGAGGAATTGAAATTGTGATTGTGAATGATGACTAATGGCAGGAAACATGGGAAAGTAGGTCTCGTGAGTGGTGTGAGAAGAGCCTGTTGCTTTGAGGTGCAATTTGACAAGATGACCTCTACTGTTTCATTTTTGTTTGCTCTGAGAATTGCTGTCAAACCAGCAGGATGCAATACAGGGTATAATGGATGCTGGGGAAAAAAAAAAAAAGAAGACAAAGCGACAGTAATTTATCAGGAATGACCAGCTGTATCAAAGAATACTTGTCCCTAGTAGATGTCTTACAAAGCATTGCCTTCCATGCAAAGCTTTAAAATTCTTCTGGAGATTTTCTCCGTGTGCAAATGTGCATCAAATTTAAATTTCTAGCATTTGACAATGAAAATTCAAAGTCTGTCCCACTGACTGCTTATGTGATGTGAAATAATGAAAATCTGCAGAATCCTTCCTGATCTTATGACTTTAAAAAGATAATACTGAATAAATTTGCAGACTAGGCTTTTGTTTTAAAAATAATTGAGTGTGAACTACGTGAGTTGGTTTGTGGTCACTTTTCTCCATATGAAGGCTTTCAGTAGTGGTTTGAGAAGGAAGGGTTCCCCAGGCAGTAGAATCTAAAGTGCTGCTTTATTTTTCCACCTTGAAAAAATGCAATAGTCTGTTCTCAATGATTTTGTATGGTATTTACCGTATTTTGCTGGGTTAGAATGAATTGCTTGGAATGTCATTGAAAGGAGGGAGGAGTCTTTGCTTTCTCTTCCACTTACATGTAACAAAAAACTGTGAAGCATATCAGAACAAGCCATTTAAGGAAAAAGGTCATAGTTTTATCTAGGTGTATGGTTTTGGAACTTGTTTTTTTGCAATACCCCAATGATGGTAATAAAATGGTATTAGTGAGATAAGTAGTAGATAGTTGGTAGCTCTTCTCTGTTTATGCAAAACAAGAATATAGACATGCAGTCTGATGCAGGTTGTGTTGTATTGGCCAAATCTCTCCTTGTTGGCTAACCCAGTGTAACTGCTTGCACGCTCTTAGGCTATCCATATTTGTGAGGCAAACTGCGTTGGCTCAGGCATCAAACAGGGAATGAACCAGCTGCAACGTGTTGGTAACAAAAAATAGAAACATACAGCCTTAATTTTGCACCTTTTTCTCCACAGCTGTGATCAGCGTTGCTGATGAAAAAATCCGTCAAAGTAGAAGAGTGATAATTGTTTTAGTACCGGAACCCTCCTGTTACAGTGTTCTAGAAGATGTGTCTGAAAAGCATCTAGCCATGTATAATGCTCTTATCCAAGATGGCATTAAAGTAATTCTCATTGAACTTGAAAAAATACAAGATTATGCAACCATGCCAGAATCCATCAAATATATTAAGCAAAAGCACGGGGTTATCCGATGGAAAGGGGACTTCTCGGAAAGGTCTCACTCAGCACGTACTAGATTCTGGAAGAAAGTACGCTACCACATGCCATCCACAAAAAATAGATCTTCATCACGATTGCATTTATTACCAAGAAACTTTAATACTTCTCCCTAAATAACAACAGAAAAATGACACTTAATGACTAATTCATTTCACATAGTTGGTGATGGATTGATTGAAGGTCACATGTATCATCCAAATTTTCTGGATTGAAGGTACTACAACTTCATCAGCAGATGTGAATCATTTTTTCTTCTGGCCAGACCAACAGAATGCCTTGAAATGTCATCAGTAGCACAGTGATGATATGGAAACCATGTTGGAAGTACATGAGGTCTTTTCCAAGAATTGCACTGTGATCTGGTGGAATTCTGGTATTAAAAATGGAAGGAGAAAAAAACTATCAAAAAAAAAAGAAAACTTTTTTTTTTCAATTAAAGGTTGAATATGAAGGGAACTCTATTAATTAGAATTGTGATAGTATGTAATGAGTGTGGTTGATGCCAGTAAATGTTTTTGTTTCATTTTTTAAAAAGAAATTACACAAAACTCCTTTGTTACAAGTTTATTTGCCTTGTTCAGTTTGCTGAAAGATGAATCCCTTTATGTTACTGCATCAGTGTGTTATCGCCCGAAAGACAAGGTGAGAGATGATCCCAGCCTCCCAAAAGTCCTGTTGAACCTGACAAAGCATAAATATTTTTCCCTGATCTTTTTTACATTTTAAAGAAACGTACCGGTTTAGCCACTTGTCCTATGCAGACATTGTAAAAATACCATTGTAATGCTGTACTGAGTCAAAAAATTAATTTCCAGAGGATATTTTTTTTTCAGTTCAGTGGCTTAATATATTTGTTCTTGTTTTACCCAAGTGGAACAATTAGCTCGTGACACAGACTCTCTGATGGGGAGTACAGAATCGCTGGCTTCATCTGCCTTACCTTAAGGACCAGATCAAGGGGCTTCAGGGCACCCACTTCTTGTGGGCCCCTGATGCTGAAGGAGAGCAGGTTTTCCCTCCTGTTCCCAGCCAAGGTTCCGGCTGTAGCATTTGTCAGCTCTGAAAGCTGAAGCTGGCTGAAAAGGCTAACAAGGCAGAAAGCTTTCATTTCCTTGGGGTAGTTTTCTCCCAGATTATTGAGCTTATATGGTTCCCAGAGGGTTCAGAGTGCAATGGGAGAAGAAAAGGGATAGTGGGACCATACATTTTGGCTCCAGATGTGTTTTGAAAATAGAGCTAAAATAGCTGGTACTCGTTAAAAAGAGAGAGAGATGCTCTGTGTTACCCTCTGCAACTTCTTGCTTTTCTCCTTTCCCTCCACCCTGATGATCTAAGGAATCTCAGGTGACTGTGTACTGAATTTGGCTGGAGCTGGATAAATTGAGGCTGGAGTCACAGCTTCTAAAGAGACGTTCAGGAAAGGAAGTTGTTAAAATTTACTGTGCATGTGAATCCTTTCTCTTTATTTTTTTTTATTTGTTAAGAATATTATGTATGCCACAATTGTTAACTCTGAAATTATGTTTGACTTGTGTGGGGCCGTTGATGTAGTTTGTAATGATCAGTTCTTTTTTCACTGGAGGGAATTGATTTGGTTGATTTTTTTAAAAAAATATCAAATCTGTTTCATGCCATGTTTATAGCTATGAATTTCATAGGAGCAAGAGATGTGGGAGCCAAATTGCTTGTGCTTTTCAGTCTGTCCTTGAAAGTTACATTTTTATGTCACGAGATCTAGTTGTATACGGAAGCGTCAGGATTTGACTGTTACTGCCTTTAACTGCTGCTTGCAACTGTGAATTCTTAAATGTGTCCTATCAGCTTCTCTCTTGCAGCACCTTTTGCTCTCCTCCCAAACTCCAGCCTGTCTTTTCCCATCAGCTCCCTTATATTGGAACAAGCAATTTACTCGTGTCAAGCTTCATCGCTTTCCAAGCTGTCCTTGAAGGCTGTTGCTAATGCAGTATTAGGCAGAAATTTTCCCTTTGAGTTGGTCCTTTGGTATCTCCACTTGTTCATCTGAAAAAACCCTCATGTTCTGCATCCTTCAGAATTCATCTACTCATTTTGACACTGCAGTGTTGGCTTTTTCTTCTTTCGTGGCTGAAACATTTATCTTCTTATGCCTCCATCCTCGACCAAACAAACATGACAATAGTGTGAAGTACCATCTCTGACAGAAGGCCTGCCTGGTCAATGTGGCATGACCCTCACGTTCTGCCTGATAAGTGGCAAAACCAGTGGAAATAGGTTCTTCTCCCACCTAAAGTGCTTTGCTTACCTTGGTATGTGCTGGAAATTGGAAACTCTGCTTCTGAGAGACAGTGCCTTCTGAGCTTTGTGAGTTGAATGTGTGTTTGGCCAAAATGGAATAAGAATCTCTTCATGTCAGAGTAAGAAGGAAAAAAAGTGCATTTGAAGCATCACACTATTCCAAACTGTCATGGTACTGGAGTGTTTTACTGATGAATGTCATGTATGTATAGACCAATGCACATGCTTATATTCTGTTCTCATGTCTCAAGACAGAAGTGTCAAGGAAGGATTAGTTCTGGTCATGAAGTGCCAGCTTCATGACACAGTCTGCTTTTAAATATTCTTATGCCTCCATCCTCGACCAAACAAACACGACGATAGTGTGAAGTACCATCTGACAGAAGACCTGCCTGGTCAATGTGGCATGACCCTCATGTTCTGCCACATAAGTGGCAAAACCAGTGGAAATAAGTTCTTCTCCCACCTGAAGTGCTTTGCTTACCTTGGTATGTGCTGGAAACCTGAAACTCTGCTTCTGAGACAGTGCCTTCTGAGCTTTGTGAGTTGAATGTGTGTTTGGCCAAAATGGAATAAGAATCTCTTTATGTCAGGGTAAGAAGGAAAGAAGTGCATTTGAAGCATCACACTATTCCAAACTGTCATGGTACTGGAGTGTTTTACTGATGAATGTTATGTATGTATAGACCAATGCACATGCTTTTATTCTGTTCTTATGTCTCAAGACAGAAGTGTCAAGGAACGATTAGTTCTGGTCATGAAGTGCCAACTTCATGAAACAGTCTGCTTTTAAATACGATGTGTGTTCAGTGACAGCCTGTTGTAGGTCTTTTACCAAAAACCCTTGAGATCCACCTGAAGTTACTGAGATCCACCTGAGCAAGGTGAATTGTTGCGATTCATATTGATGGAAGAATTTAGTAGGACAGAAGCTGTATGGTTTGACCACAGAACACTTCTGTAAGAAGATCCCTAGATCAAATGTGAAGATGAAACACTGGAAGCATGGTGTTTGTACTCTGAGGACTGGGGTACGATAACTGACTTTGTGCTTCCACCTTGACAGCTTGCAGTATGCAGGCCAGCCAACAGAGTTCCAGCAACCTCGGGCCTCCTCAATTATTGTTGCTGACTGGAATAGATTGAATGAAAAACTGCTACTTGTTATGCCTACCTTTAGGGATAGGAAAGTTTACTGAGCCAAAATACTGTTTTGTAAAAAAATATTTGTTCCTTTTCATATATTTATACAAATGATGCCAAAGTTTTTATGTGTGTTATGTAAAGACACTTTGAAAAAAGGACCATTTTTTAATTCAATAAAGGCACTACATTTTTTTTTCTTACATCACTGCTATTTTTTTTCCACTCATTCCTCCACTAAACATATAGAGAATGAACAAGAAGAAGCAGCAGTCTTGACTTGAAGTGTCTTAAATAAGACACTTCATATATCAAGTCTTTATTCAGGTTGCTGAACGTGTGTGGGGAAAGGGTCTCATTAACCATTGTGTTAATCCAGTCTTGGCACAACATTAGCACTATCCACCTCCCCCTGCCTGGGCAAATGGGAGCTGTGAGCTTGAATCTGGTTGGGCTTTCCCTAGAAGAAACCCCAGCCTGCAGCTAGAAGGCAGTCACAAGCACGCTCTGCCCAGGTCTCCAGCAGAGCCCCAGTATGCATCCAGGTGATGAATGGGAGGGCCAGTGCTTCAGCAAGCTGAAATATTATGAGCAGTTCCAGTGCAGACACTTGATTACCATTGAGTTAAAGTTGCTGCTTTAACATTGAATTAAAGTCCTGCTGACCCCAAAGGAATAAGCAGCAAAGACCCATTCTGTCAGGTGCTGGTGATTCTTTTTTTCCCCTGTGGGGAAGGTCCCCTGCTGTGTTCAGCATCCAAGCTGCATGGATATTAAAACTGGTGCTGACAATATCATGTCATCACTTGACTAGTGTTAAATAATTAAAAAATCTCACCACATGTGGGAGATTTGACTCTCTGAATCGCCCCAGAGAAATCCCTTCAGGCAGCTTAAGGAGACCTACATTTCTGCATCCTGCACTTGCTTGCAAGTTCCAGTGACTGATGCAACACTTTCATTACGTCCTTCTTTTCCTTTGCTGCTTTAGCTCAAAATTCTCATGGTTGTTTGGTTGTGGGACTCCTTGCACCGGCACTTTTAACTGTGGCAAGCTGCAAGTATTACTCTATATGCACTTTTAAAGACTGATGTTGTGCCTTCGCATTAGAACCCCTGTCATCTTTGCCTGCAGAAAGGGGATGTGCTTGCATAATGACACAGAGAAAGTGCAGTATGTACTCCTAGAACTACTAAGAACTTCTTAACAAAGTAAGCAATTGTGCAGACTTGGAGGAGATGACCTCATGGCAGAATTTTCTTGGGCTTTCCCCATGTTCTCTCTTCACCAGCTGAATTGTAACCCCTTGCTCTGCCCTCCGGTGTTTAGTGGGCTTCATCTCAAACCTTGTAGACAGAACATTCTGCCAGTGAGGGTCACGTGTACGTAATTACAAATGTCTTTTTTCCTTGTCTGCAACAAAGAAGTTGGTTGTGTGTTCCCATGCATTGTATATATAGCAGGCCTGAACCTGAGAAACACAAGATGAGAAGGGGCTTCCTCTGTCCCTTGGGTAGTTCATTCCCATCTCAGGTGCTCAGTTACATTGTTCTCTCTGTGATTTATCATGCCTAATCCTAACAAAGTAGTTAGGTTTCTCATCTCCATTATTGCTGTTCAATAATCTCCTTTGACCTGATTCTTAGAAACTTACACAGTTGTAGCTTTAATGTATTAATTGACAGCTGAGACATACTCTTCTCCATCATTGGTATCTACTGCATATATTTTTTATAGACAGCAGTTGCAGTCCATCTTCAATTTAACCTACACAAGACAAACTGACTTAATCCTTCCTGAAGGATAAGCTTTTCATTTTCTCTAGTAAATTAGTAGTCTTCCTCCCATGAGAAGTCTCTTCAAATATGTTAACGTGTTGACCAGGACAGTGCACAACATTTCAGCTGAAGGTGGTCTGGTACCTGAACAGTGGTTTGGGGGTCCTAAATGGAAGATGGATGTGCACGGAGGAGTTAGTGCTCCATGTGAGAACTGATGTGAGTGGCTGCAGGACATCCTGAGCCAGTTCACCCCAATCCAGAAGACCTGTAGGCAGCTCCCACTCGGCACCTGGCGGTGACTCCACCCGCGTGTCTCAGCTTGCCTTCAAGAGAGACAGCCTGTTTTCATCCAACATCCTTTGC